TCTTGCCAAAAGCAATGTACAGATTCAATGCAATCCCCATAAAAATCCCTGCACAATTCTTCACAGACCTTGAAAGAACAATCCTCAACTTTATATGGAAAAAAAACAAAAGACCCAGGATAGCCAAAACAACCCTGTACAATAAAGGAACTTCCAGAAGCATCACTATCTGTGACTTCAAGCTCTATTAGAGAGCTATCATTCTGAAAAAAAGCTTGGTATTGGCACAAAAATAGACTGGAAGATAGCTTTCCCAGGACTTGATCATTATCCCACTTTTTTTCAGGGTCCCCAAGGATGTCATCATCTCCAGACAACAGGAAGTAGTCTAGAGAACATAACACCCACATTCCCAAGAGGTGGGGTGGGTGATGTTTGGTAGTTTGGTGTTTTATGAATGTTTGTCATCATTTAGCAGGATTGGTTACAAGTTCTTACTGGTCATGGTCAGGAAAAAAAACTAAACAAAAGATGTTAAATTCTGGGATCTCTTTCTAAAAAGAAAGAAAAGAGGTGTTATAGGAATGATAGGATAAAAGGATAGAAATTTGAATCTACTTTTAAACTACAAAGCAACTACTAGTCTCAAATATTTTACATTGGTATGGATTTTTGTACAGTAATAAAAACTTAAGCTTATTTTTGTTATAACATACTACATATGAGTTTCTACTCTTATTTAAGGTATTTTTATATTGATACAATTTTAAGATTATTTTTGTTATAACATACTATGTTTCTACTCTTGTTTAAGGTATACTACCTATGCAGCTCATTTAAAACTGTAATGTAAAGTCTGTCCTTTGAAAGCCATTATCATAAATTGTTTAGAGTAATTAAGACATGTAAGTTAGTATTTAGTCATCTATAACAATCAAACTTGTAGTCATGTTAGATATATTTTCAAGGTCAAAAAAGAGATATATTTTAGATAGATAGGTGGTCTTCAAACACGTCAGAGATCTACACAATATGGCATTTAAAGTGTTTTAATAACATAAGGCTTTTCATGACAGTGAGATACATTTGTTCCTGACGAAGCTAGCCACCAGGCAAAATTCCCTTGCCTCAACTTCTGACAGTAGGTTGTCCAAATTAGAGAAACAGAACACAAAAGATGACTGTTAAACTTTGCCAAGACAAGGTAGGACAGACCTTAGAAACTTCCCATTCACAGAAGTCTGTCAGATACTCTAACCTGTAGGCCAGTGATGGATAACCCAACATTGCAGAGAAACCTTGGGTGACTGTCCAGGCAGCCAGCTGTCTTTGTCATTTCTATAGTTTTGAAAGTTGTTTGCTCTGCTCTCCTTGTTCACTCAGGCAATATTTATATATTCCCCAGGTCTCTGATGGTGTTGAAGAATATATAGTTATAGTCTTAGAGTTTTCCTTGTTATGAAATTCAGAAAAGAAACTTACAAAATAGATGCAAAGTTTATAAGATTGAGAAACATAGAAGCTTAAGTTGTTTGTATAAAAATATGTTTTAAGATCTAAAAAAAGATATTTCTAGGTTGGTAATACAAGTATGATAGAAAATGGTTTAGGTATAAACTTTGAACTCATCAAGATAAGATAGATAATAGAATACTTTCTCAGAATTTGCCAAATACAAATGGACTAGACATTGTGAATGTAATTCTTACCTGATAGTTGTTCTTATTGTATATAGTTTTTACAGTGTTAAGAATTAAAACCTTTATTTTTCATTTGACAAAAGGGGGAAATGTTACAGGATATTTGTTTATACTGTGTGAAGATGCATCACTGTGATTGGTTTAATAAAGAGCCATTTAATGAATGGCCAATGCTAGGCAAGAGAAGATAGGTGGAATTTCCAGGAAAGAGAGGAACTCAGAAGATGAATCTAGGTGTTTGGAGAGATGCCTGTGATGGGAGATGTCATTGTGTAATTATGTTTCTCATACTGGTTAATGAATAAAGAACTGTTGGCCAATAGGAAAACAAGATAGGCGGGACTAGGAGACAAGGAGGATCAAGGAAGTACTAGGGAGAAGTCAAGATGAAAGATGGAGAGAGCAGAACGCCGACGGCCTCTCTCTGGTAAGATGAGACCACGTGGAAATACTTAGATTAATAGAAATGGGTTAATACTTAAGACAGAGCTAGCTGATAAGAAACAAGTAACTGGCCAACAGCATTATATCAAATATAGTGTCTCTGTGCATTATTTGGGGCTGGCGCGGTGGCAGGACAAGACCAGTGGTGAGGGAAAAACCTTACTCTTTATATGCCTGAGAGACATGAAGTAAGGTGGACATACAGAATAGAGGAAAGGTTAAAAAGCCACACGGCAGAGTGTAGACTAATAGAAGCAGGTTAATTTAAGTTTTAAGAGCTCATTGGGAATGAGCCTAAACTAAGGCCAAGCTTTCATAATTAATAAGAATACTCTATGTCACTATTTGTGAGTTTGTGGCCCAAAAGAAAGGCCTACTACAAGGTCTTTTTATTTCATATATTATTAAAACAGCATATATTATCACAGTCACCAATTTGAATAGCTTTGAAAAATATCTTGACCACAGTGTAATTTGTTTCCTTCCTAATACCTTGTATTTTACTTTAGTTCATGTATCTAAAAATATTATTCCCCAGAGAACTGAATTTATATTCATCAAAGGGCACACAAAGTTTTTAAAGATCCTTGGACTAGATAATTAGCTCCTCAGGAAAAGTAGTTCTGCCTGCAATCCCACTACTCTATAGGCTGAGTAGGAGCACTGCCAGTTCAAAGACTTGAACTTGAGATAAATCTGGATTCCATTGGGAATCCAGGGGCAGCCTGGGCTACAGAGTAGCAGGACCCTGTCTCAAAAGAAACCAAAAAAAAATGTATTATCTTTTCTGATATGTCTATTGTCCAGTTTTGGAGGCAATGAGATAGCTCAGAAGATAAAAGTGCTTGCCATGTAAGTCCGACAACTCCAGATCCCATGGTGGAAGAACTCTCAAAATCTGTTCTCCTGCATCCCATGGCACATGAGAACCTGTGTTCAAAATAACACACACACACACACACACACACACACACACTTAATTTTAAAAGGTTATCTGACTCAAGGATTTCTAAAATAGGTCACTAGGGAATAAAGGAAAATGGAACTTCCAAAGAAATACATCAGTTAGGGTGAGAGAAAGTAACGAAAGCAAATCAGTTTACAAACAGTGCAATCTATGACATTTCTGAATTCAGACTCATGGGAAGAGGAAATGAACTTAAGAGGCCTGGTTAATAATTTAATAATTTAGACCCAGAAGTGAAAGGTTATGCACCACATAGAAACACAACAAATGAAATATTTGATATTGAGGTATGATGAAAGCTAGGTAACAATAAACCTAGCTAAATAAAATATTTTCTTTCAAGTGAAAGATGAAAAGATAATTCTCCTAAGTAAAGGTGAAATTATCAAAGGACACCCAGTTTTTTTTTAATAAAGTATTTTAAAAAAACTGTAAGGCTTAAGAGAAACAGAAAGCAGAGTACTAGATTGATGATGCAGGGGGAAAAAACGAAAACCAAATGCATAAGAAAAATAAAACCAAATGCATGAATTAGTTCCTCTCTGACCTTGAAGGACCTTATAATTTCAGCAACAGGCAGTTCACCTCACTAATAATACCCGGAAATGAAACAGGGAGGGAACAGAACACCACGAAGAATGTAAGCCAAATTAGAAACAGCTTGTCACTATTTCTAGAGTGAAACACCATGTGAAGGGTTATGTTGATCCCATCAAATTCTGAGTCCCTCTTTAGGCCTGGGCAACCTCAACATCATATTGTTTATGATCAGAAAGCTATTTTTCTAAAATCATACTATCTTAAAATTTACTTCTCTCCATTCGAAACATGTTTTTGTTACTGTCCTCAATTTTCTAGTAACTCCAACTGCAACACATTCATTTTAAATAATCCCTAATAAGATCATCATTTTGTTAGGCATTAGAGGTAGACTGTGTTTTCAGCCAATTCCTCCCATAAAATTGTTTTCAGAGAGCAGTACCAATGTTGAGCTAGCATGACATATGGGAGAGAATACATACAGTGAGAAAATATTTTTTATGTAAAAGTTTTTATTTGCTCAGAGACCTACAGTAGAACTCAACATGATTGAAAAAGAAACCAAAGAAATGATTGCTAATGATATTTTGCCATATTCATAGATCAGTGACTAATCTAGCCATCATCAGAGAGGCTGCCTCTGGCAACTGATGGGAACAGATGTAGAAACAGAGACCCACAGCTAAACATTAGGCAGACACAAATTCCAGGTTGGAGGCTTCCATTGGAGCTTCTTGTAAAGTATATGATGCCCCTAAGAGACTCACTCTTTTTTTTTGGGGGGGGGGGTTCTGGGGAAGAGGGATTTTGGGGGTTTGGGAGGAGTGGAGGGAGGGGAAGTTGTGGTCTGGATGTATTGTATCAGAAGAATAAATTTTTAAAAATTTAAAATATTTACCCATTACTTTAGCTTTTAGCACTAAATATCTAACTTAAATTTGCATTTACATCAATGAAGTGTGAAATGCCTGCGACTTTCCTGGACATTATTCAGCTCACTATCACTAATGAAAACTGGGTTTTAAACTAAAGTTCTCACCAACAACTTCCTGAGGCAAGAGGGCCACATCCCAGCCAGGCCCCACCCCTCAGACGCACTTCTCCTCAGAAACTCACTTTCCCGGCATGCTCCGTCCGGCAGGCGCCATCGCCAAGAACGCCCTAGCCTGCTGACGCAGCACAAGAGAAACCCTCCAGGGGGCGCTGAGTTCCCCGGCTCGCCCACCTCGCCGCCCCAGAAACGTCACCACGTCTGCTCCGCCCTCCCTCAGACTGCCAGCTAGGCAGACTCTGATGCGCACGCGCACACACGTCTGCCACGCGCCGAGCTGCTGCGCATGCGTGCGCTGAGAGACAATCCCGCCCCTTCTCCGCCGTAGTTTCCCTTTCCGGGCCCCCCCAAGAGGTGGGACTAAAGTGGAAACATGAGGCTGTCCTTCGCAGCCGCTATCTCCCACGGCCGCGTCTATCGCCGCCTGGGCCTGGGCCCCGAGTCTCGCATCCACCTGCTGCGGAACTTGCTCACCGGCCTCGTGCGCCACGAACGCATCGAGGCGTCATGGGCACGCGTGGACGAGATGAGGGGCTACGCGGAGAAGGTGAGAGCCGGGACCACGCTGGCAGTGTGCAGGGGTCAGGGCCACGCTGGGAAACCTCTCCACGGAAGTGAATCCCGTCACTCAGCTGAGCACGTTACTCCCGCGCTGCAAATGGCAGGCTGGCTGGGGCTGCGGAGTTAGGAGCGCCCTGAATTAGCTTAGTTTGTGGGATGATTGAATGGAGAAGCTAAGGCAATAGAAGACTAAGGTGGATGCCTCGATCCTTGCTCGTGTTGCATTGTTTTGTGATGTTTTGTACTCACAGCTCATCGACTATGGAAAGCTAGGAGACACCAACGAGCGAGCCATGCGCATGGCTGACTTCTGGCTCACTGTGAGTGCTCCCTGCCTTGCTCGTGGGGAAGGACTGGGTACCAAGCGGGTGTGAAGCAGGGTGTTTGATTGAGCGTTACTGTTAGGAACTACCTTAGTGGAACTGTTAGGAACTACCTTAGTGGAATGTTTCGCTTATTTGAACCGGAAAAGAATGTGCACCTGCACAACTCCCTATAAATGGTTCTGTGTAACTTGGTACCTGATTGGGTAGGTGGTGGGGAAAGCCTGTGAAGACTGACTGTTTGAACCCCGCCTCTGGGAATAATTGAAAGTTAGATGCTTTTGCAGTTGTGACTGTTTTTGTCTGATTAATTCTCCCCATATAGGAGAAGGACTTAATCCCAAAGCTGTTTAAAGTACTAGCACCTCGGTTCCAAGGTCAGAATGGAAGCTACACAAGAATGCTGCAGATCCCGAATAGTAAGGAGCAAGATCGGGCCAAGATGGCAGTGATTGAATATAAAGGGAACTGCCTCCCTCCCCTGCCTGTGCCTCGCAGAGACAGCAACCTTACTCTCCTAAACCAGCTGCTATTGGGACTGCAGCAGGACCTGCGCCATAACCAGGAAGCAAGCCTCCACAGCTCCCTCACAGCTCAAACACCAAAGACTTAACTAGAGTTGGAAAGTGCATGGCTCTCATAGGTGTGTTCACAAACCCTGGAGCTCTTGTAATGTGTGAGAACTGGAAGTAGCATTGTAAAGTGGACCGTGGAAACCTTCCTGCAGACTTTTTGCACAGTAGATAAATTTTTGATGTGAATATATGAAATTAATTTTCTTTCCTTCCCTTAGGATTTCTGGAAAGTGAGAGGCATCCAGATGCTCAGCCACCTACAATAGTAAATTCACAGCTTTTGCTTCTGAGTCTTAGATCCAGTTTTGCTTTGCTTTTTGGTGGGAGAGGGAAGTCCTACTATTGTAATCCGAGCTGCATCCAGCGTTCCGCAGTCCTCCTGTCCTGCTTCCCCAGTGCTTGGCCTCCTAGTGTTCACCACCATTTAGGGCCAGTCGCCTATCTTTTTAATTTTTTCCGGAGACAGTGTTTCCTCTGTGACCCTGGCCTCCTGAATGCTGGGATTAAAAGGTGTGTGCCACCACACCTGGCTCAGTTTGCTTATCTTAACACTTACTTTAAGAGGGCCCTGTATCTCCTGATTCCAAACTAGCTTCCTGTGGTGACTATGGTTGATATCCAGCTTAGAAACCCACCCCTTGGGATATCTTTTTGTTTTGTTTTGGTATGAGTGCTCTATCTGTATTTATGCTTGCATGCCAGAAGAAGGCATCAAATCCCATTGTAGATGGTTGTGAGCCACTCGGAAGAGCAGTCAGTGCCCCTAACTCAATGAGCCATCTATCCAGCCCAGGCCCTTTTGTTTGTTTTTTGTGATGTATATTATGTGTTTTGGTCATTTTCACCATCACACAACACATCTACCTAGTCCCCCTTCCACTTTCATGGGTGGATGGGTGAGTGATTCAGTAAGTTTCATTAGACCTGCTTACAGGAGCATGGGTATCTTACCAATGTCTATTCTGCTGAAGAAAATTTCCCTCCCTTAGCAATCTGTACACAGGAGGGGTGGGAGACAACTGAACCTCATCCCCCTCCTTGACAGTATTTTGACAGCTAGTATGAGAGAAATGTTCAATCCAAAGAGATTGCTTCCTGATAAGTAGCAATGAGAACCTCTGTAAGGGAAGCTTTAAATACCCTGGTACCCCTGAAAGTGAACAGGGATACTGCAAGCATTGTGTTTAGGCAACGTCACACATTCTATTTATGTCTTTCCCTCAACCTCTGAATGGGTCTTGAATGTGGATTCAAATAAATGCACCACCACCCTGCACATGGATAGGGGTGTAGGCATCTGACAGGATGTTGCGCTTCCAAATAAGTTCCTTCCTCTTGATGGAGGGTGTGAAGAGGAAGGCTAATGGAGAATGAAGCATTAGAAAGTTATGCCTGTTGGGAATTTCCTGGATGCTTTTGTTGTCAAAAGTGGACCTCTGTGGGAACCCGGAAAGAGGAAATCCGGTTTCAGAATAGCTGGGTCATGGGAGAAGCAAAGACCTTGTTTATATCCTCTGGGTGCTATAGATATAACACATCCTGGCTGCCGTTCTGTACATTAGGCTTGACTGGGCAGTCATGAGAAGCTGTGTGAAGTTCTCACTCCTGCCCTGAGGACTTGATACAAGGCTTGAGGTAGGAAGAAGGTAGAGGGTCACTGTTGAAGCAGAGAGACAGCTTCAGTCACATAGTTGTTCTGGTGCTGTTTTCCCTGCAGCTGCCTAGACTGACTCACCTAATCCCAGCAGAGCTCTCCCTCTTTGCTTAAAATTCGACACACTTTTTTGTAAATATTTCGTCCCAGGTAGATGTGTCTGTCCTAAGAAAAGCCCTTAAAACCAAATCTTGACGACTTAGCAACGGGTGGATTGTGAAAAGATTCCCAAAGATTTTTCTTTAAACTCCCAGAAATATTTCCATCTGGAGCTTTACTTTTTCCCTAAACTTTACACTTTTTTGCTGGGGAGTTGGGAATGCCTGTGTCTCACTGAGCAGATGGAAACCAGAGGAAAGCTTTCCCAAGTCAGTTCTAGGTACCAAAGTCAAGTCAGCAGACTTAATGGCAATGGTTTTTACCTGCTGAGCCATCTCTCTACCCATCCATATGTATTTATTATGCATTTTCCAGTCCTCAGCATCACCTTACATACTTTAGATAGCATGCTTTGAGAATGTTTGCAATAAATCTGACCCCAAAAAGTTGAAAAATCCTAGGATATGAACTAAATAACCAGTTCCTATGTTAGTAAATACCTTATCTCAGAAGGTAAAATATGCCTTAAGTAGACATTGCTTAAATTCTAAACCAAAGAGAGCCCCCCCCCATCATTTCGAAAGAAACATTCTGCATGTTGAGTTTCAGTTCTTTACAATAAGGTTGACAAAGTAATGTGCCTCGCCCAACCCAACAATAAATAAATAAAAAAAAAACCACTCATTTACTAAAACATTAGCACTATGAACCCAATACCTGTCTTTTTTTTTTTTTTTTTTTTTTTTTCCTTTTTAGGCCCTTCTATCTTTAGTGGAGTCATGTCCTACTTTATCTCTATTCACAAATAACGCAATTCTCCCTAGTGGGAAGCCCTAGGCATAAGGCTGTAGTGATAGAAATCTCATCGTCATAGTTGCCTTTTGGGTCTCTGTTAGCACATTTTCTGTGGTACAGAATCCAGGTTCCTTACACCACCTACTGACCAGGTGTCTGTTTGCTGTTTAACATACATGGTGCCTCTAGATTTCATGATTCAGATTCATAGAGCAGACTTTGATCCCTATCACTCAGACTCCACTTTTACTTCCATAATCTACACAATCTAACCACCCCATTCCTAACTTTTTTTTTCAAAGAAGATAAATCTACAGTGTTAAGCAGTACATTGAAACAACCACATTTCATTACAGTTCCCCGTGATGTAAGGCATTGGGCTGAAGACAGCAATGAGAATGGCAGATTAAAGGCTAACAAGTTGAAGTGCTCCCAAACTGCAATCCTAGTTATAATTAATTTTTTGTGTGGTTATTGCCATTCAAGACTGAAATTTCTTTTAATTGCTACCAAATGCAGTCAAGCTTTGTACTGCTAAAATAGTGGTTTTTTTCACCCCCTTAAAAATATGTTTTACTAGGACCCAGATGAGAAAGCATTTTGCATCAGAACACAGTGATCAAATATGTATATAAATTAAATAGGGGCTGGAGAGATGACTCAGCAGTTAAGAGCACTGGCTCCTCTTCCAGAGGACCCAAGTTCTATTACCAGTACCCCATATGGCAGCTTAAAACTAACTTCAGTTCACACAGACATAAATGAAGGCAAAACACCAATACCCACAAAATAAGAATTTTTGAAAGAGTTCTGTTCTAAAAAGAAATTAAGTAATTACATACCCTCAAAAGACATCCTGTACACATATGTATCACCGTTTAACAATACTGCTTCCAGAGTTGGGGAGATGACTCAGCTGGTAGAGTGCCAGCTATATCAACCATGAGGCCCTTAGTTTAGATCACAAACCACAAAAAGTCAGGAAGATGGCTCATTGGGTAATTGCTTGCTGTCAAGCCTGATAACTTCCATTTGATCCCTAGAACCTACATAATAGAAGACTGACTCCCACAATACTGACCAGGCTGAGGCACACGTATAAGTGATAAAAATTAAAAAGTTAAGCCAAGTGTGATGGTATATCCTGCTATTCCAGTGCTGGAGGTACTAGCCACAGACATGCAGATCATACAGTCTCACTGGCTGCCAGCCTAGCAAAACATAAATTCTAGGCTAAGGAAGAAATCCTTTCTCAAAACGTGAGGTTTACCTCTAGGCTCCACATGCATGTGCACACATCCACGGGAACATATACATACACATATACACAATGCTGATCCCAATTCACTTTAACAACCTAGTAATGAATTACAACCTGCTTTTACAGGACTCAGTCAACCTTTGCTAGGTAAAATCCAGACAGTACTTTGACAATCCTGCTACAGCCTGATGCAGCCACATCTCAACCCTGCCATATTCCACTCTGGCTGAGCTTTATAAAACAACTGTTCTTTGTGTAAAGACGCTAAACTACACTGTTGAGAATCCAAGACAAAACAAAAAACAAAAAAAAAAAAAAAGTTCCTCTCCAAGAACTTAAATGCTGATAGTGATTGTCAAGAATGTAAACATACATCTAGTCAATTTTCCACACATTTCTTGTTCCAATTTCCTGGAATATTACTAACCAAGCCACAAACAGAAAACACCTATACATTTCTACACTAGCAAAAATGGAAATGATGCCTCTTTTATGGTATAGTGTCTGAATTCCTCAAGCAAAGCTCAACATTATTGCAGTGATCCAAACCCTTCATTAGATCTTTTAACCACAAAGACCACCACTCATATTGTATATTAGATCTGGAATTTATTCATCCTACAACTCAAAATTTGGCTCCAGGACTAGGCTGGAGCTCTGTGGTAATATGTACTTAGCATTTAGCAAGTCCTGAGTTCAATTCCCAGAACCAAAAAAGAAAGAAAGGAGCAACAAAGGAAGAAAAGGTTAAGACCAAGGTCACCCATTTCCTCTACCCCTTAGGCACTGAGAGCCACAGTCTATTGTTTTAATCTTGTTTTGAGTTTTTGTTTTAATTAGGATAATTTTTAATATAATACACCCCCCAAATGTCTGAACTCTAAACTACAGTTTAAAATTAGCAAGAATGTTACACAATGGTTCCTTCCATGAGAGCAAAGACTTTCCAGAAGTTTCCACATTTTTTTACACTGTTCCCCTTCCGACATTTTCAGAAGTACTAACTAAAAGAAGGACATTGGGGTACAGAGAGGTAAGGGGGCTCACATAAGGTCATCATTTTTGTTTTTAATTTCATTAGTGTATGAGAGAGAGGTGCATGTATGTGTCATGGCACACATGTGGCAGTCAGAGACAACTTTGTGGAGTTGATTCTTTCCTTCCATCTTTATGTGGGTTTGGGGAATCAAACTCAAGTTGCCAAGGTGGTGATCAATGATGATACTGTTGTTGAGACAAGATCTCTCTGTGTAGCCCAGGATAGCCTCCAGAGAGCTGAGATTATATGTGTGCTTCACCACACCCAGCTAGATTAATGATGTTTAACACTTTTTTGCATGCTTCTTGGATATTTGCTTGTCCTTGAAATATCGATGGCCCTTGTTCAAGTTAAGGTATTTTTTGTTCATTTGTTTGTTACCTGAGGTCCTGTAGTTCCAGAACACCAGCTTGGAACTGCATCATGTGGGACATGAGGGGTA